CCCCCATAGGTGGAATCCAGGGGACACACCACAGTCCTCATTCAGCAGAGTCATCACATGGTCCTTCCTGAACCCCTTTCCTGTTTGTGCCCATAATGCCACACTGTCCCGACGCCTCCTCTCTCCGAATATGCCTTCTTGATCTCCAACAACTATTGGATGCTGTAGTATCCTGGGCCCTCTTTTCCATCTCTAGCTGCATTTTTCTCTATCTTTTCATTTTCAATCTTTTTATTATTATTATTATTATTATTATTAGGCTGTCGGAAAAGTGATGACATATTTCTCAATGCAAAAATTCATCATGACCTTCCCAACAACCTAGTATTATTCATTTATGTCCTCTATGAGAAAGAGACAGAGAGACAGGCACCCCCACAGAATCTTGACACTGCTGTCTGTCCCCAGCTTCAATCATCCCAGATCACAGGACATGCGCACCTACCTGGCACGCTCTGGGAGGTCCTGGGATGTGAACCCAAGGCCTTTCCATGTGGGTCCAGTTATGTTACTACTGCACCACCAGTAGTGCAGACTCAAGTTCAAATGCTCTTTCAGCTTCTGACTCCAAATTTATGTCTCTAACCTTGACTTTCCGTTGAGTTCCGGGCCCACACCTTTGGTGTCCTGCTTCTTACTTCCTATTGACATAATAAGGATCTCACAATCAGCATATTCAAAACAGATCTGCAGTTCTCGCAGGCATTCAAACCTAAAACACAGAAGTCACCTTCAAGACCATCTCTTTTCTCATTCCTCACATTCAGCCTACTAGTGAGTGCTGTCGGATCTGCCTCCTAAGTATATCTTGAACGTATCTGCGTTTTTCCTTCCTCACTGCTCAAACCTTCCATGCCACCACCTTCCCTCACCTGCAGTAGCTGGTGACCTTGCTTACACTCTCTCCCAAAGATGAGAAATAACTTGTAAACCTCAATTGTACAGTGTCACTCCACTTTGTCAGTAACTTTTATTTTAGCATGAAATCCAAGTTTCTACTTTCACCTAGAAAAACCTACCTGATCTGGCTCTGCCTGCCTCTCCACCTCATCTCCCTCAAGCAGATCACTCCCTCCTGCATTTTACTCTGAAGATACTGCCTTCCTCCCTGCCCTCTGGTATGCCAGACTCGTTCCCACCTTCAGGTCTTTGCATGTAACTCTTCACTCTGCCTGGAGAACTCTAGCTCTTAGCAAGGCTGGCTCCCTCTCCCCTCTCCCGTCTTCAGGTTCCAGCTCAAAAGTCACCTTCCAGAGGCCTCCCTCTTTATGGGAAGTGGTCATTATGTATTACAGTGTATGTTTTTCCCTCACTGGAATTTGAGCTCCTGGAGAACAGCCTCTTTTCTTTTGTTCTCCATCCCCAGCACCTGAAATATTCCTTGCTAAGTAGGTAGGGTTGGCCCTCCCTATCTTTAGGTTCAACATCTGTGGATCCAACCAACTGAGGAGCAGCCAGGCCCCACCAGTTGTTGTAAAATGGTAGAAGAGGTGGTCCCTAACAGAGAGATGATGAAACAGTTCAGCTGTATGTTTTCTTTTCTTTTATATTCGATGCTAAAACTACTTATAAATAGTCTAGAGATGACTTGAAGTATCCTGGAGGATGTGCATAGGTTATATGCAAATACTGTGCCCTTTTTTAAAGACAGTTGAACATCTACAGCTTCTGGTATCCACCAGGGGGTCATGGAACCAATATCCCTTAGACACCAGGATGACTGTATTTAACCTAATGAATGAAAGACTACCATCAACAAAAAGGTTAGAAATGAATCAAAAGTTTTTTTTAATCTATCATGACTTCATTTCCAGAAAGATATTTGGTCTATTGAGTACATGTAATTTTGGTTGGAGTCATTAATTCTCTTAAGTAGAAGATATTTTCTGTAGTATAGCTTCATTTGAAAAATGGGCAGAAAGCACACACGGATGGAGATTTGTTCAGAAACAGTGTTAAGTCAAGTAATCTGCTTTGAATAAAATAATTCTCTGGATAAGGAAAAAAAAAAAACACCAATCAGAATCTCTTTTTGTGAACTTTGAAGGTTGAGGAATGGGATTTAAATCTCCCTTTTTGGCTCATCTTATACCCCATGTATGTAGATCAGTGTCCCAAGGAGGTTAGGGAGCCTGAGACTGCAACTGTCTTAGAATAAATACAGACTCAGGAGGATCACTATTTTGAAGTCTGCTGGCAGTGTCTTTGCTTCTCAGCTTCTTCACATCTTCCAACAGCTTCAGCTCTCCCTCCTGTAGCCACAGCTCCTGCAGCTCGACACTGCCTCTTACAGGTCAGCATCTCTGAGCTGCCCATGCTGCCCAGCGCTGGGTGGTGGTTCCATGACTGCCTGCCTGGGTGGGCAGGGACACACCAGGCCACTAGGCTCCCAAAGCCCAGAGGAGCGGTGGGTTCCTTCTGTTGTCACACGTCTGCACTAGCATGCTGCAGCAACATGCTGTTGCGTGTTGTCCTCTGCTCACCATGCTAACAGCCACCAGTCACCAACACAGACAATCTTTAGTTCTGGAAGCTTCCGAGTGCCTTTTTCAATTAAGAAACACAGAGAAAAATCTTCAGTAGAACTGGCTGTCTAGATTAGTTTGAATCCTGGTCCCATAAGAAGTACTCAAATCAATTGTCTTCTAAATTATAAGAGATTGTTGGGGCCCCCAGGTGGCATGGTGGTAGGGGTGCTGGACTCCCATATGGCCAACCACAGTTCAAGTTTCGAACCTGGTAGTTTGCTTTCTTACTTTCCCTCTCTCTCTCTGGTCAAATTGGAAAATAATAATAATAAATAAAATTATTTTTAATAAAATTTTTAAAAATGATAAATGATTGCTTCATGGAACCAGGAGACTGATGATGGAAACCGCATGTACCTGATGGCAGAAATCCTAGCAGACATGTAGACACAGGTACATCATTTTCATCAGTTCAGGGAAGGTGTCACCACTACTATGTTTGGTGGTCAGGGGATGCTTACTGATGAAGCAACCTATTTTCAAACCTCAGTAGCTTAACGCAATAAAAGCTTATTTCTCATGTCACAGTTCAGTCAGCTCAGTGTGGGGGTGAAGGGTATGGGGTGTCTCTGCTCCACACAGCTCTCCGGGGATGAGGCTCCTTCCTTCTAGTGCAGGAGTTCTTAACCTAGAGTCCACAGACCTTTAAAGGAGTGTGCATAATTCAGAGGGTCTGTGAACAAGGGTGAAGGGAAAAGTGTATCCTTATTGTCACTAACCTCTTAACTCTAACTCAACATTTCCTACAATTATGACTGAAGGTGTCAAACCATAATAATATTAGTACGACCTCTGACATTAACACCAATAGAAATCATACTATTTCATGTCACACCACAATTTTAGTAGATATCGTAAAATATCATTTATGCTTAATGCTTAATTCTACTTTGAAATTATGATAGCTGGAGACCCACTTCAAGGTCTCATTATATCATCTGTTAGGGAATACCATGCCACCATATTACAAAATATTTCTCCTAATTTCATAACCTTATTTTAGCACATCTGCTTTTCTTTGTGCTTCTACACATTTTACTTTAAACAGTAAGAAACACTAATCTGAGAAGAAGTCCTTAGGTTTCATCTGACTCTGAAAAGGTCCATGGCAAATAAGAGAGTAAGAACCCCCAATCTAGTGGTTCTGTGCTCCCCGAAATCCATGGGTGTCTTTTCCATCTGGTCACCAGAGTGAACTGGTGTTGGCACTGGGAAGTAGTTTAGGGGTGAGAATTAGAACAATGGTGTCACGTCTGCCCACATTCTATTGGCCCTGATTCAATCACATGACCTCACTTGGCTGCAGGGGTGTCTGGGTAGCCAATTCTAGCTGTGTGCCCAAGAGGAAAAGGAAATAGGGCATGGTGAATGCATATAAGGAACTGTTACCATACCCAAGGGCACAATCAGCAAAGAGGTGGCATCCCAAAGACAAGGGACTCCCTGGAGAAAACTCATGTCCTGTCAAATTTACTCCAGGAAGCATACGCAAAATAGTACCATAATAGGGACCAGCAGTTGGCATAAGGCTATGTCGTTGGACTCCCATGTAGTCAACCATGGTTCAAGTCCCGGACCCAGTGGCTTAAACTCACGTTGGGCATGTGTGCATGCGTGCATGCCCAAGATCCCGAGAGGAGAATGGAGGAGAAGGGATTGCAGCATGGCCATCCCCCCTGGGGGGTGATTTCTTGCTTTCTGTCTTCTGTCTCTCTCTGTCTTTCTGGAGAGCACATGCACCCTATAGCAACAATCTCTCCAAATAAATAGTACCATAATAGCTGCTATTAGCTGACTAATTACTCCCGTTGATGTTCTACTGACTGATCCCCTTCCATGATTTCCCTGATCTCCGTAATAACCTGTAGGGCAAGTACTATTACTGTTCCTTCTTTATGAATAAGCACACTGGGGTCTTGAGAAGTAAGCCCAAATCAGTGCTCTCAATCACTGTGCTGGGCTGTTTTACAAAAACACTGAGACCCTCGTTAAGAAGGCAGACCTGGTGGAGAGGATGACACAGCCAGACTCTGGAGTCGTATTCCAGTTTTGCTAAGCTGCTTTATTAACGGGGCACTTTTCTACTAAAGCTCTCTATGCATCTGTAAGATGGAAATTAATAATAGTACCCAACTCTTCAGATTAAATGAGAGAAATACTTAGAATAGCTCCTGGCACCCAGTAAGTGTTCAGTGAATATTTGCCACTGTCATTACAGCCTAAGTGACACTGTGAGCAAATTCAAGAAGATGATCTGAAACAGTCCAATAGAGCTCTGTTCTCAAGAAGGATGCAGCAAAATGTCTGAGGTCCCCAACCTCCCTAGCCTCAGGGAGTGTCCTGCATTACAATCAAGAGGATAGGAAGCTGTTATTTTTCTAATGAAGGAAAAGAAAAGATACATTGGGACAACAAAAAGAATATTTGGTGCATTACTTTTCATTTTAATGAAACTTTCTCTCCCCTGTACAGAACTCCATGAAGGTGATGTTCAAATGCCTCTGGAAAAACTGTGGGAAAGTGCTGAGCACTGCAGCAGGGATCCAGAAACACATCCGGACCATTCACCTGGGGTAAGACAGCCCTTCCTGCGGAGTTCAACACAGTCTCCTCCAGTTCAGTCTCAGCCACATGCACATGGAAGTTACACTCCACCCTGTGCCTTCAAAGTACTGGACACCAGGCTGGCTTGGTCTTCCTCATCTCTAGGGAGATGACCACTACAGACAGTGTAAGCCAGTGTGGCACAGTGGAAAGCATGAGGATTTATCACTGGGAAGCCTCCCCTGAGTCACGTAAGCAAGTCACTGCTCAGAGCCCCAGTTCTCTCTGAAAATGAGCAGTGTCAGCTCTGCAGGGTCTGTGTGAGGGTCAAAGATAACATGTGTGTGAGAGAGACATGTAACGTACTAAACACTGGGGTAGAGGTTCCTGACCTGGGATCCGTGGTTGGACTTCAAGGGGTCCTTGAACCCTTGAACTTGTCTATAAAAGAATTGTGTGTTTAGTTTTCCAACAGATAGTGTGCGCGTGACTTTGAGCCTCAAAAGCACATAGGTCTATTAGGGGTATAAGACTCTGTACCCGTCACTGCACCGTGGCTGTCCCTGGGATGCCTGATGATCTGGCTCCATTTTTTTTTTTTTTACCATTCACTCTTTATTTGTAAAGTCTGCACTTTCCCCCATATTATATGACAACTTTTCTGAGAAAATATAAAATGAAGCTTTGGGAGCCACAAGTAGTAAAGTATCGACAGTGTGGGGGTTCATCAGTCTTGAGCTTTCACCCTGAGTCTTTCTTGCCCAGGGATCTAGAACTCAGCAGGGCCCTTGTAAAGCTGTGAGTCACAACTGGGGTTCCCATAGCAAGCACACGCACGACCAGGCCCTGGCATACTTGCACATGAGGGAGTGTGTAGAAATCAGTGCACCTTTACCCAGCAACAGATATTTAGGAAATGCATCATCTATAAAAAATGGTCTAAGCAAGAAAGCAAAAATGGATTCTCAGGTGATTTCGCTTATCTGTGAGGGTCAGCTATGTCAGTGACTGTGGCGAGAAGAGGAATCTGGCTCCCTGACTTTCAGGCTGTGTTTGGGGACTCAGCAGAACCTTCCAGATTACAGCCACATGCTGGACTTCTGCTCCCCTAGCCAGAGGGGCTGGCTTCATGTCCAAGAAATACCACATTGAAACAGTGCAGACAGGAGCCCTAACCCCTGTCCCTTGCCGCAGGGTAGGGGACCCTGCAGTATCTCCCCTCAAATCTCAGGGTAGTGCACAGAGTAGCAGCTCAGAAATACTAAAAGTGTAGAAAGAGCTTACCGAAGCTGTAACCAGGAGGTAGGTCATTGTTTAAAAGTACATCAGCCCAGGCACCAGCAGATGGTGGAATGATTACATTGCTGGACTCGCATGTAGCTGACCACAGTTCAAATCCTGGACCCAGCAGCTTAAACTCACATTGGGCATGTGTGCATGCAAGCCCAAAATCCCAAGAGGAGAATGGAGGAGAAAGGCTTGCAGTGAGGCCATCCCTCCTGGGAGGGGGGTTGATTTCTCATTTTATGTCTCTCTCTGTTTCTCTGGTGAATGTACACACCCTATAGCAAAAATCTCTCCATTTAAAAAGAAAAAAATGTACATTACCAAAAAAATTGAATCCCATTCAGCACCACTCAGAAGCACATGCCATAAATGTGTATATGTTACATTACCAAAAAAATTGAATCCCATTCAGCCCCACTCAGAAGCACATGCCATAAATGTGTGTATGTATATGTCTGTATTATATGTGTTTGTGTGTGTATATGTGTGTGTGTGTGTGTATACATATATGTTGTTGGAAAAGTCATGATGTATTTTTCTATGCAAAAATGCATAGTGAGGGGAACCAGCAGTTAGCATAATGGCTATGTCGCTGGATTCCCACGTAGTCGACCGCGGTTCGCATCCCAGACCTGGTGGCTTAAAACTCACGCCGGGCGCGTGTGCGTGCGTGCCCAAGATCCCAAGAGGAGAAGGGATTGTGGCATGACCATCCCCCCTAGGGTGATTTCTCGCTTTCTGTCTTTAATGTCTCTCTCTTTCTGTCTGGTGAGTGCACGCTCCCTGGAGCAAAAATCTCTCCAAAAAAAAAAAAAAAAAAA